GGCTGAGGGCGGGTGTCTGCTCTGCCCCACCGCCCCCGTGCAGCGGAGGCACGGGGTGATCCCGGGACGCGAGGCCTCAGATGCTCTCTGCCTTGCCTTTCCTTTCCCCTTTCCTTTCTCTTCGCCTTCCTTTCCTTTCCCCTTGCCTTTTCTTTCCCCTTTGCCTTTCCTTTCCCCTTTGCCTTTTCTTTCCCCTTTGCCTTTCCTTTCCCCTTTTCCTTCCCCTTTGCCTTTCCCTTCCCCTTCCCCTTTGCCTTTCCCTTCCCCTTGCCTTTCCCCTTCCTTTCCCTGTCCCTTTGCCTTTTCTTTCCCCTTCCTTTCCTTTCCCTTTGCCTTTTCTTTCCCCTTCCTTTCCTTTCCCTTTGCCTTTTCTTTCCCCTTCCTTTCCTTTCCCTTTGCCTTTTCTTTCCCCTTCCTTTCCTTTCCCTTTGCCTTTTCTTTCCCCTTCCTTTCCTTTCCCTTTGCCTTTTCTTTCCCCTTTCCTTTCCCTTTCCTTTGCCTTTTCTTTCCCCTTTCCTTTCCCTTCCCCTTATCCTTTCCTTTCCCCTCCCCTTCCCCTTTCCTTTCTTTCCCTTCCCCTTTCCTTTCTTTCCCCTTTCCCCTTTCCTTTTTTTCCCTTTTCCCCCTTCCTTTTGCCTTTTCTTTCGCCTTTTCTTTCCCCTTTCCTTTCGCCTTTTCTTTCCCCTTTCCTTTCCCCTTTCCTTTCCATTTGCCTTTTCGTTCCCTTTGCCTTTCCCTTGCCTTTCTCTTCCCTTTCTTTTCCCCTTCCTTTCCCCTTACCTTTCCTTTCCCCTTGCCTTTCTCCTTTTCTTTTCCCCTTCCTTTCTTTTCCTCTTCCTTTGCCTTTTCTTTCCCTTTGCCTTTCCCCTTTCCTTTCCCTTTGCGTTTCCCCTTTCCCTTTCCCCGCCCGCAGCGAGCGCGGCTCCGCCAGGAGCTTTTTTTAGCAGCACCGACCCGCTCCCCGACGGGGAGTTTCTCCCCGCGCTCACGTTTCCGTGCGGGTGCGCTGCTAAATAAAGACGAGGGAGGAGGGGAGGGGAGTTCAGCGCACGCCTCATTACGAGACGGCGCTAAG